TGTGTGTGTGTGTGTGTGTGTGTGTGTCTGTGTGTGTGTGTGTGTTTGTGTGTGTGTGTGTCTGTGTCTGTGTGTGTGTGTGAATGAGTGTGTGTGTTTTTGTATGTATGTGTGTGTTTGTGTGTCTGTCTGTGATGCAGGGAGGAGACATGGTGTGTGTGTGTCTGTGTGTATGTGTGTGTGTGTGTCTGTGTGTATGTGTGTGTGTCTGTGATGCAGGGTGGAGACATGGTGTGTGTGTGCGTGTGTGTTTGTGTTTGTATGTATGTGTGTGTTCATGTGTCTGTCTGTGATGCAGAGTGGAGACATGGTGTGTGCGTGTGTGTGTGTGTGTGTGTGTGTATGTGTGTGTATGTTCTGCCTTTGTGTCTTTGTATGGTGTGTGTGAACGTGTGTCTGGGTGTGTGTCTGTGTATGGTGTAGGTGTCTGTGTGTATGGGCGTATTATGATATTGTGTGTACGGAAAAAAAATATATTGTTATTTGGAAATGAAGAGAGGGCTATTTTCAAATGATATCACTATCATATGCATATATATAATGTATATGTAGTGTGTCCTGTTTCTGTATGTAGAATTCATGCTACGTAGAGGACTTACAAAAGAATGTTCAATAATGCTGTCACTTTTCTATACACGTGTAGGTAACACTGGCAACCTAGGGGTTTAGGCTGCTGATCCTTCTTTCCTATCAAACATCTATTGTCCTGATCTTTCCTCCTTTATCAAAATTTTAAAGTTTGTTACTCTCTTGTTACACCTCTAATCTAATCTTCGGGGCTTATATAACCTCTTTGTGTTGCAAGTACCGTAAAACTCTTACTAAAGCTTTAAAAAGGTACATAATTATTCCATTTTCAACGTGATTACAAACTAGATATCCTTAGTGTCTGATGGTTGGAGGCATGTAAACTTGCAACGTGGTAGTGTGTTGTCCTGAATTTGATCTAATACCAGCTTCTCTGTTCAGTTATGGTGTCACGACACTCGTAAATATGCTACCCTGTTTTACGTCTGAGTCTGTAAGTGCCCTCAACTTCAATCGGAAAACCACAAGAAGAAAGAGGAAGAGCTAGAAATGAACTGAGGAAATACACAACACACCAGCAAATTTTGAAAGCTCAAACTGTGTATCTTACAACACACCAGCCAATTTTGAAATCTCAAACTGTGTATCTTACAACACACCAGCCAATTTTGAAAGCTCAAACTGTGTATCTTACAACACACCAGCAAATTTTGAAAACTCAAACGGTGTATCTTACAACACACCAGCAAATTTTGAAAGCTCAAACTGTGTTTCTTACAACACACCAGCAAATTTTGAAAGCTGAAACTGTGTATATTACAACACACCAGCCAATTTTGAAATCTCAAACTGTGTATCTTACAACACACCAGCAAATTTTGAAAGCTCAAACTGTGTATCTTACAACACACCAGCAAATGTGAGGCGTGCTTACAAAATGAGTTACTTCTCGCCATCCGAGAAATGAGATATTGGCCGAAAATGGACACTGGGGTCAAATTTATAGATTTTCCAATTTATGCCATTTTGTTCTAGTCTACCATGTCTTTTATTATTCCAGACTTACAAATTGTACAAACTCCACCTATAAAGCTGATGTATCAATTTCCATAAATGCTAAAATCCGTGAAGTAACACATTTTGTCAGCACACCTCACAAATTTTGAAAGCTCAAGATCTGTATATCCCACAACACACCAGCAAAGTTTGAAAGCTCAAAATGTATCCCTCACAACACATCAGCAAATTTTGAAAGCTCAATCCATATCTCTTGCAACACCCCTACAAATTTTGAAAGCTCAATCCGTATCTCTTACAACACACCAGCAAATTTTGAAAGCTCAATCCATATCTCTTGCAACATCCCATGAAATTTTGAAAGCTCAATCCGTATCTCTTACAACACACCAGCAAATTTTGAAAGCTCAATCCATATCTCTTGCAACATCCCATGAAATTTTGAAAGCTCAATCCGTTTCTCTTACAACACACCAGCAAATTTTGAAAGCTCAATCCATATCTCTTGCAACATCCCATGAAATTTTGAAAGCTCAATCCGTATCTCTTATAACACACCAGCAAATTTTGAAAGCTCAATCCATATCTCTTGCAACATCCCATGAAATTTTGAAAGCTCAATCCATATCTCTTACAACACACCAGCAAATTTTGAAAGCTCAATCCATATCTCTTGCAACATCCCATGAAATTTTGAAAGCTCAATCCGTATCTCTTACAACACACCAGCAAATTTTGATAACTCAAACTGTATCTCTCAGAACACACCAGCAGACATTCAAAACTCAAACTGTATCTCTCAGAATACACCAGCAAATTTTGAAAGCTCAATCCGTGTATCCCACAAATAGCATAAAATTTTGAAAGCTCAATCCGTGTATCTCACAAATAGCGTCAAATTTTGAAAGCTCAATCCGTATATCCCTCAACACACTAGCAGTCCTTGAAAGCTCAAACTGTATCTCTCTCCCCCAGGACACCAGCAACCCCGACCCTCTGGCCAAGGCCCATCTGGACCTCCTGTCTCAGCTGATTGGAGCAGATGTCACGAAGAATGAGTTCAGGCTCAACTTGTTCCAGAACGATCAGGAAGAAGAGTAAGTGTTGATGGGATGATGTAGAGAATAAAGGGACAAGAGTAAGTGTTGGTGCCATAATGTAGAGAATAAAGGGACAAGAGTAAGTGTTGGTGGGATGATGTAGAGAATAAAGGGACAAGAGTAAGTGTTGGTGCCATAATGTAGAGAATAAAGGGACAAGAGTAAGTGTTGGTGGGATGATGTAGAGAATAAAGGGACAAGAGTAAGTGTTGATGGGATGATGTAGAGAATAAAGGGACAAGAGTAAGTGTTGATGGGATGATGTAGAGAATAAAGGAACAAGAGTGAGTGTTGGTGGGATGATGTAGAGAATAAAGGGACAAGAGTGAGTGTTGGTGGGATGATGTAGAGAATAAAGGGACAAGAGTAAGTGTTGATGGGATGATGTAGAGAATAAAGGGACAAGAGTAAGTGTTGATGGGATGATGGAAGAGAATAAAGGGACAAGAGTAAGTGTTGTTGGGATGATGTAGAGAATAAAGGGACAAGAGTAAGTGTTGATGGGATGATGTAGAGAATAAAGGGACAAGAGTAAGTGTTGGTGGGATGATGGAAGAGAATAAAGGGACAAGAGTAGTGGTGTTCTAATGTAATAGAGAAAATAGAGACAAAAGCAATTAGTGTTAAAGGACGTAAAAGAGGTGAAGATGTAGAAAATACAGAGACAAAAGCAAATGATAAAATATTCAAGATATGGTAACGAAAACAAGTGACAGTGTAGAGAAGAATGTAAGACTCAGATCAGCCAGTTCAGCTGAGCCTCCGGACAAAAACTCGGTCGCCTCCGTTCCTGTCTGAATCCAGGCGTTGATTGACGTTCGGCCCGGAGCTGTAGGCTACTTGTTCCGGGGTCTGCAGCACCGCGTAGAGGTCTCAATAATGACTGCAATAATGTAAGACCGGGTCCGGATGTACTCTAGACGAGGCCACAAGAGGTTGCCGCTTACCTGTCTGCCTGCGGCAGACTGCCGCCCTCCTAACAGAGGCCAGCCAGAAGAAGAAGAAGAATGTAAGAGAAAAAATTCTGAACCTGAAAATCGTTCTTTGTGAATGTGCGTGTTTCTCGCTATATGCATGTTTGCTATGTGCATACTAGACCGTGACTGCTTTTATGGTTGATGGTATGGTATGAAAAGGTAAAAGAAATATAGTAACCCCTCACTAAAAATGTTAGCGCCTATAAATGGCCGCTTGCACTGTATGCTTCCAAGAAAGTTGAGGTTGTTTCAGAATGCTCTCAGGTCTGCTGGGGTAATAGTATAGATTGTGAGTGGGTGGTTGGTGGGTGCTCTGGTGTGGTTTGCTTCTTTTTTCCTATCAAACACCTATCGTCCTTATCTCCCCTCCTTCTTTTTTATATTTGTTACTCTCTTGTAACACATCTAATCTTCTGGCGCTCATATGACCTTATGCATTTGCGAGCGCCGTAAAACCTCTACTATAACTACAAAATAGACTGTGAAGCGCATAGAGCTTGCTGTTCAGCGGGGATTTGCGTTATACAAATGCTATCTATTATTATTATTTAAAATATTTCTGCCCTCCAGGGAAGCAGCGTCCATTCAGCCAATAGAAACAGCCGAGTCCAAAGTGGTCAACATCGATGCCTCCAAGAAGAAGCAGAGTTCAGAACTGTCCAAAATCATGGGCGAGATGACCTTGGAGGACGGGGGCGCTGACGGCGGGGACTCGGATCTGCTCTCGCTCATGGACAGCTAGGCTGTGGCGTCGACAGCTAACCTGCTGCGGCGACGTCGTTTAGAATTCTAGAACTAAATCTCTTCGGTGGATTCTCTGGGGTTGATGTGTAATACTGGGCTTGACTTTATTTCAATCTTGATTTGTCGATTGCTTTACTTTTCTGTAACTTTGTTTTCAGATTAAAAAACGGAAGTGATTTTTTTTTTCTTCAATGAGTTTTGTTAAATTGACATCTTTATCATTATATTAAGCGTTTTTAAAAATTTTAATCCACCTTTAATACTGGTACATTTTTAATTTGGTTCATTATTTGATTTAAATGTTGTTGCAGCTTTTTTCCTTCAATTACAAGGAAGAAGCAGTTGTGAATATGGTGATGTAATGTAGGCTACTGAAAAAAATCATACATATTCTGTTTCCTAAATGAACCAGTCAATGGTCTCTCAGCATTTTGAATTCTGTTGGTGTCTCACTACATACTTGTGAATTTTCTCAATCAAAAAAGTTTGGTTGTAATGTGGTACAGTTGTCTACATCTTAGATCCCCTGACCTGACTCCCTGGTAAACCTTAGATCTCACGTTACTGAAAAAGTGAAATATTTGATATAGAGGTCCCCTTTAGATCCCAGTTTTCACAGGAGAAAGTTGACTACAACCCCAATTTTCTCTCTTGATAGTCTAGTCAAGTAAGACTTAAACAAGCACACATGTATATTTGACAGATTGAAACTCACTGTCACGTTTTTCCAGTGGCTTTGTTAGACATCATCAGACGTGTGTTTGGTTGTTTTCCGTGTACAGCTCCAGATCTCTCTCATGTGTCAAGTCGTTGGAGGTTTTTGACTACCTGATGTAACTCCAACATCTCAGCTTTTACGCTCTGTCCCTGCATCTTGTCAATACCAACGTTTTTGTAGGGGGAAGGGAGGCCGAAGGGCAAGAACTCGAATAGCCGCTGGATCGGAAAAGTGAAGTAAAAGTAAAGTAAAGTAGGGGAAAGGAAGCAAGAGTACACGTATTGTATATCGACTGCTGAAATGCGAACACCATACCTCCAGACCACAAGAGCCCCAATCACTCTTAAAATGATTCCATAGCCATTGGGGAGATTGTTCTGACTTGATCATAAGTCCTCTCTGAGTCTGTGCCAGTTAAAACCTTTTTATCCTAATTTTTCCACTTTTTCCCAACTCCCATGCAATGGAGTCTGAGGCGAAGACTACTGTACCAGTCATATAACAGCTGTATCCACTCTGTGCCACAGATCACATATCCAAACATTCCATAATGTTCTCATTTCCTCTCTCAATTCACCAGCTGTGTCTGCCTCTGATCTCTGACTGTTTAACAAGGGGCAAATGTTTCTCAGATGTTTTTTCCGTCCATTCTTGTACAGTAAACGTGGATCTTTGTCCAGTGTGACAAGTGTAGTCCCCCTGTATTCTGATTTACTCTTTATCTCCGTGGGAGATAAACCCACTATGCCCGGGCCGGTTTTTGGTACAAAATCTAAAAATGACTAAATCATCACTAAATTGGTAATTGAATCAAAACAAGTGGACCTATTTCGATAGTTCATCTAATGAATGAAATCCCGATAAAAGAGAACCGTTTTTGGAAACTGCCGAAAATTATTTTGATTTCGAAGTAGTCGTAAAGGAATGTGCCCTAGCCTCTGCCAGCGGCTCACCGGCACAAGGGTTCCAACCGCGGCTTGCCGGAGATAAAGAGTTAAGAGACCATCATCGTTTGGACAGTGCTCTGTCCTCATTGAAGTCATTTTTAGAAGTTACTTTCTTCTCCTTAGTGGATAAACTAGATTGTCAATGAACTCACTCATCTCTATTTATGAAATGAAAATCGTTGAGCTGCTGTTTTTAGTTTAATTCAAATTCACCAGCCTCTATAAATAAATCATTGATGATGGTCAAATGAGAGTTTTACAGCACTTGCAAAACGTTTAGGTTATATAAATTTGATGTTACCAGAGAGTGTGATACAAAGAAAAAAAGTCTTTATTTATAGAAAGTCTTTTATGGCACTTACAACACAATTCAGTTCTATTCGTGTAAGAAAGTGCCAAAGATTAGCAGTGTTACTACAGAGTAATAAAAAAAAAAAAAAAAACAGAAGGAGATATAACAATGATAGAACTTTGGTGGGAAAGAAGGGGCAAACCCTATCAGAGCACCTACCAACCACCCACAAAAGAAAAGAAGGAGATTAGATAAGGACAATAGACATTTACTGGGAAAGAAGGAGGAAGCAAACCACATCAGAGCACCCACCAACCACCCACAGATAAACTGTTTCGCCCAGTGTCTGTCCTCCAAACACAAACATTTCACAAGAAATATACTGTGCAGCCTCTCTATAATAATAATAAATAATAATAAATAAATTACACTTTTATTTGTCCCAGAAGGGCACTTTGTTTTGTTTTACAATGGCAAACATACATACATAAATACATAATTATAAATACGTACATACATAAATACATACATGCATGCAGAAATACATACATAAATACACACTATTACACAAATACAGAACAGTTTACAAACAATGCCACTGTCGGTCGCCACTGTGCAGCGCCCTGTAATTTGAGCTAGGGTTGTCATGTCTTGCTCAAGGACACACTCCAGTGACCACCCATCTGATCCCCGTGTCACGGACACTTGCTTGACATTGCTTGAGTCAAAACTCACTACTCACTTAGCCACTGACGACACCGTCAGGACAGAAAAAAATGTCGTTATAGAGAGTAGGCCATAGGCCTATTTGTTATAGAGAGGCAAAGACAAATTACTAATGATATATTTGATAAAGAAAAAATTGGAACCTGAGCACCGGGTTGCTATACAGAGGAGGTTGTTATATCAAAGGTCGTTATAGAGAGGCTGCACTGTACCACGAGCCAAACATTAATTCTGTATACTTACCTCATTATCTCATCGTACCTTCTCCCTAGTAGTATCAAAAAAACATTATGTGTTGGCGTGGATGAATACATCACAAGGGTATCAACTGTGACATACGTATGCTTGGGTGTTGACCCATCAATTAATCTGTGGCATTGTTTCAACCAAGCATTTATATAAATAAATGAATTACACTTTCATAAACATCGCATTGTAAATTGTTTCACTATCTAATATTAGTAGGCTATTACTTAAAACTTTCCTTAAAGATCTTTTGTTTCAATTTATCCTTTCTTTTGAGATTACTTGCCGTCAGGGTACACAACTTGAGGCCCAACTAAGATACGGTGTTCATCCTTCCTGAGGGAAGAAGACCTTCTTCATCATATCCGGGGGTGGGGGTGGGTCCTCAGGTGGGCAACTAAGATATATACATTAGTTCAAAGACCTTCACCCTCGCTCCCAATTCAGTATTACCACAGCACTATATATATACCACTATTGGAACTTGCTGTCTGTACTTACTTCACTTTACTTTTTAATTCTCTGTTGCCATTAACCATTCAGGGCAGTTTTCTATGGTAGGCCAACTCTGCAGCTCTTTCAGTTGGGATGTTATAGTTTCTCAGGGCTCCCTTGACTCCCTCAATCCATCTTTTGTGTGGCCTACCTCTTCCTTTATAGCCCACAGTCTGTGCGAGTATGTAAGAATCAAAACTGTCCAAGGAGTGGTGTACACTACCGTACAAATCTTTTCTAGGAAATCTTTGGCGTACTGAAATTAATCTTGATGCTTAGAATTGACTTTGATTGAAGTGATTATTGTACTTCTTGCTTGTGATCTGATTGTGAACAGTGTACATTTGATCTGAAGTGAACATGTGTGATAACTGCAATAGTCCCTCACTTCAGCTCGCTTTGTGCCAATTATTTCTTTTTATTTTTATGAATATTGTACAATCAAAACTGTCTCTATAATTTGTAATCCAAAATCTTTTTCAGATGCGCTCTTTCCTCCCCTGTTTATCTGTATCTTTTGTTGATTATAATGAGTGTTTTGAATTGATATTTTCACATTTCTTCTGAGAGAGTGTCAATCACTTGAATCAGTGTGTATCTTTTTACGTTACCTAACCTTTATGGTCGCTTTTAAGGCCAATCGGGCTAACCCAGATTTGGGGTTTCCAGAAATCTTAACCAGCTCCAAAAGTAGGTGCATTGCCTTTTATCTGTAAGAGAAGCTTGGTTTCATTGGTGTGTATATTTGTTTGGTTATAGAGAAAACTCTCCTTGTCTTTTAAAGAAACTGAACAAGGGGCAAAAACTTTACTTTCACTTTTCTTAAAACAGCATTTTTTGGGATAGCCCCCTTATGCTTAAAAGCGGCCACATCATTCATCATGACTTATCATTTTTGTAATGTTTTTATAATATAATTCCATGTACTATAAGCTGTTCCTGTGATGTAGGTTTTCGGACAAAGTTTCGAATAGTGTGATAATGTGGCGTCGGTAGTCTAGTAGTTAGACACGTTATGTCCTTGATAAAGACACTTTACATGAATTGTCCTCTCTTCACCCAGGTGGGAATGGGTACCTGGCCATAGACAGCGAAAGATCTTGTCAGTGTGTTAATGTTTTAGTGCCTATAAAAATGACAGCTTGCACTGTATGCTTCCCAGGAAGTTGAGATTGTTTCAGAATGCTGTCAGTCAGGTCTTCTGGTATAATGATAGGTTGTAAAGTGCATAAAGCTTTCTGTTAGATAGAAATGTGCACTATACAAAGGCCATCTTGTGTGTGGGGTTTTTTTGTGTTATTTTTATTATTATTATTATTACAATTATTATTATTATTATTATTACAATTATTATTATCATTATTATTATTACAATTATTATTATTATTATTATTATTATTACAATTATTATTATTATTATTATTACTATTATTATTACTATTACTATTTTTATTATTATTATTATTATTACAATTATTATTATTATTATTACTATTATTATTATTATTACTATTACTATTTTTATTATTATTATTATTATTACAATTATTATTATAATTATTATTATATTGTTGTGAAAAAGGTGCAAGAAAAGTTCCCAGTTGATCTCACCCACAGTGAACCCTATGTAGCGTAACATGTCCCCTATGTTTGGTTCACTCTCTTTTGATTTGCATAGTCAGTCGTGTTAGTAGCACTGGTAACTTATAGAAAACCATCAAACATCATCTATTCTCCCCACCCCTCACCCCCACATTATCATTTTTGTGTGCAAGTACATGACGTCCTTGAAGTTTTAATTAAACGAAGACTAGCTGTCTTCTAAATGATTACAATTCTGAATTGCCTTGAACTTGCAGAACGTTATCATTTCAAGAAAAAGAAGTCCCAAATGAAGTTCAAGGTCATCTCCCTTTTATTTGCATCAAAACCACCTGAAATTTAAGTTCTCATTCTCAAGGCCTTGTGTTTAAAAATGCATTTTTGCTTTAAAAAAAAAAAGAGAATCGGACACCATCATTATTTTAATAAAATTCATTTATAACATTTTATTAATCATTTCACTTTCTGTGTGAAAGATGCTTTGTTTTATTAACTATTGTGAGAACTTTTCTACTTGATTTAACACGTTGAGCAGTAAGATTTTCATATTTCTTTGAATGAACCATGACTACTATTACATGTACCTGTAGAAGAAAACACAGGTAGGAAATATAAATATACTTGCAATATTTCTGTGAAGAAACCATTACTGTGTAGCCTTCTGTACTAGTAAGACGACACAGCTTGAACTGTCCCCATGGTTTTATGTACCCCGCATAATTTAGCAAAATTTGATCATTTTTTGCATAATTTCTGATTATTTTCCTTTATCATTCTTTGTTAAAATTAACAGAATCGCATAATTTCACATTTTTGGGCTCAGTTTGCATAATTTCATAAGTTTTCTTGCATAAAACGATGGGGACAGCTTGAAAAATATTTACAATACCTCTGTGAATAAATCATTACTACTCATGTACTAGTAAGAAGCTGACACAGCTGGGAAAATATTAACAACTACGATACTTCTCTGAATGAACCATTACTACTATGACTATGTACTAGTACTACTAGTAAGAAATAAACACAGAGCGAAAACACTAAGGATACTTCTGTGAATGAACCCTTTCCAGAATGTACTCGTAAAAGTATAAAGCAAACATTTACACCGCAAGGAAAGCCCTTACAATACTTGTGTGTGTATGTTCCTACTGTACGTAGCTGTGGTGACCCACTGTGCAGTTGGGTAATCTGTAGTGTAATAGTGTAGTGTTGTGTAT